TACCATAGTGGATCAGCGTAAGACAAAAACAAACTTTAGAAGAAGGATTGATGTATTATTTAAATTTAGTTAATTTTAAACAAACAAAAAAACAGTGTACCTTGAAAAAAAGTGGCTTTATAGTGTTATTTATTTTTCTTTTAAGTTCATGCAAACACATGAGCCAGTTCCTGGACACCCGACGGGGAGCTCACCGCTAACCGCCTCCAGCCGGGCCTGTGATCTGGAGAACACTTTTCAGAGACCGTTATTAGTTTCCATTTATTAACATTGCAAATCTAGCAACTTGTTTGTTTTTATATAATACATTTTTTTTGTTTTTTTTTGTCAAACGTCTAACTTTTGCTGAGCCAGACCATCTCAGCTGCTAAGTTTTGCTGGACTTGTTTGCTGCTGCCTGCTTGCGCTGATCTGGCGAATCAATGAACTCTCACTGCATGCTGCTTCTGCTGTTTGGCTTGCATCTTCTTGCTGTCGCTGCTGCCCGTGTGTTCCTGCCGCACGGTCTTCCACAGGCTTTCTGCATGGCCTTACTGGTAAACTATGGAATGCTTATTGTTGCTTCACCTGGCTTCGACTGGTGAGACGTCCTTTTTGCCAGCACCTGTGCTTGATCGTTGAACTACCAAACTCTCCAGCCTTCTCTCTGCCTGCACACTCTGCCTAGCAAATCGCTCTTCTATTTAAGCTGCAACTCTACAGTGTTGAACATGACACTTCTTCTACTGAGCCTTGTCTTGCTCTGGGCACATGGGCATATGAATGTCTCCGATGAAACCTCTCTAGTGAAGGCGTGGGGTCCCTCATTTGTTCCCAGTATGACTTGCTCCAGGCCAGAGCTACTTGTGCAAAAATTACAAAAACTACAGCCCCTTCATAGTGTTTCTTCTGAATCCCTTCTCCGTTCTCTGTGCCTTGCTGTTTTGAAAAGCTTCACTGTTTTATCTGACAATGATCTTATGTTGTTTTTTAATTCACTACATACTAAAAATGCTGTGAGCCCTGGTGCAACCATGAAACAGAGATGCTTGATCACTATGTTGTTAATTATTTGTGGTGATGTGCAGCCAAATCCTGGCCCAGTTGATATTGACTCTAAAATCTGCAATACTCCGGCTGATTTCAAAAACAGGTCTGGGTTGGGTATTATTCATCTGAATATGCGAAGTATGCTTCCTAAGATTGATTCCTTACGTATTTGGGCAAAACCCACCGATGCAGATATTATAATTCTTTCAGAAATCTAAATCAGTCACAGATAAAGACATTGTTATCAGTGGATACGTCTTTAGAACCGACCGACCGGCCTCGTAAGGCTGGGGGCGTGGCTATATATGTAAAGAGCAAGTTCACTGCCAATGTAGTTCTGTCTATATCTGTGAGTTAACAACTTGAATTTCTGGCCCTAAATGTTGAGGTGTACAAAGGCATGACTGTCACTGTTGTTGGGTGCTATAGACCAGTACAGTGAGATGGTCCTGGCAGGCGATATGAACTGGGACTGGTTCAAACCTGCTTCAGACGGAATGAAGGGCCTTTGCAGTGAATTAAATCTCACACAATTAATTGCGTCGCCTACTCGCCCAAATTCAAAACACCCAGGGAAATCTACTCTAATTGATTTGCTATTGACAAATGCACCTCATAAATTTTCTGAAATTGGCTTGTTTGCTAATGACATGAGTGATCACTGTACGATTGCTGCAGTTAGAAATGCAAAAATTCCCAAATCCAGGCCTCGATGCGTTGAAAAACGTGATATGAAACATTTCTCCTTACAAGGTTTTTCACATGATTTATTTTATTTTAATTGGGACAGCATTAGGCTTATTGATGATGTTGAAATAGCCTGGAAATACTTTCATGATGGATTTTTGCAACTTATTAATAAACATGCTCCTATGCGTAAGTTAAGAGTCAAGGGACGAGATTCTCGACGGAGCTTAGCAAACTTCTTCATGAGAGGGATGTGGCTTGGGCAAAGGCTAGAAACTCTGGGGTGGAGGCCGATAGGATTAATTTTAGACGACTAGGAAACCAGTTCACAGCAGCTGTCCGACATGCCAAATCTGAATACTATCTAGCGGCCACTGCAGACAATCTGAATAACCCTAGGAGTTTCTGGAAGTCTATCCAGTCAATTTCGTTAACTAAATCTCTTAATGAACTGCCTCCCCATATCATTAGGGACGATATTATTATCTCGGAAAGATCTGCAATGCTAGAATGTTTTAATGAACATTTTGTTGCACCTGGTTCTTTGTTTGACCAGTCTCCATCTCCAAAAACCTCCTCTTCTGATGGTAATGCTGCGGGAAGATGTTGTGCTGGCCAGCCTTCTTCTTTTACCTTTGCCCCGTTTTCAATCGATGATGTGCATAAAGCCCTAATGTCATTGGACATCAAAATACCTGCCGGCTCAGATTGTTTAGAGCCATATTTTTTAAAAATTGCTGCAGATTTTATTGCTAAACCGCTCATGTATATTTTTTATTTGTCTTTGGTTCAGAATGTTATGCCATCAATCTAGAAAGGAAGGAGATCCTACTTTGCTAAACAACTATAGGCCTATCCCCAACTTGTCTGTGCTGTCAAAGGTGTTAATAATATCAGAGTTTCAGTCGGGTTTCCGATCCCATCTCTGCCTCATTGAAGGTGGTGAATGACATCATTGAGGCACTGGACAGCAAACAGATGTGTGCAGCTCTTTTCATCGATCTTTCTAAAGCTTTTGATACGGTGAACCATTGTATTTTAAAACAGAGACTGCTCCACATTGGTCTTTCTGAGAAGGCAGTTGGTTGGTTTGAACATGATCTCTCAGACAGGACTCAGTGCGTCACCTTTGATGGTATTCTTCAGGTTTCTTACAAGTTGTATCAGGGGTTCCTCAGGGATCGGTGCTGGGCCCACTTTTATAAATGATCTTGGTTCAAATGTCCATAATGCTCTGTTTCATTTTTATGCTGATGACACAATTATTTACAGTTGTGGAGAAACCCTTCACCAGACTTTCAGTACCTGCAGAATGCCTTTGACGTTGTTCAATCTTGGCTTCTTGACTCGAAGCTTGTGTTGAATGCAAATAAAACAAAGACGGTCTTGTTCTTAAATAATAGGAACTCCACAGCTATCCCTCCAAACGTTGTAACCCTGCAGGGAAATCTAATAGAGCGTGTGGCTGAGTATAAGTACTTAGGGCTTTTACTTGAACATTTGACTTTTAAGGCTCATATGCAAAATTTAGCCCGGAAACTTAGGTTAAAGGAGAACTGGTGGTTGAGGAGATTCCCCTTCTATGTGAAGCGCTTTGAGTGCTGAGAAAAGCGCTATATAAATGCAAGGAATTATTATTATTAAAGCTTGGGTTCTATTTTAGGAATAGGGCCTGCTTTTCTCTTGTAACAAGGAAGAAATTGGTCGAGGCTACTTTTCTGTCGCTTATGGATTATGGTGACCTTTTTTATATATACACGCCCCGAATAACTGGATTCAGTTCATCATGGCGCACTGAGATTCATCACAGGGTGCAAACCCTTTACACATGGTTGGACTCTGTATGATCTGGCCCTCCCTTGCTCAGCGCCGGCTAACCCGGTGGCGATTGTTTATATATAAATCCATTATTGGGACATTGCCCCCTTATTTATGTAGGCTTATGTCCTTCAAGGCCAGCGTTCGCTCTCTGCGGTCTAATGATAATCTCCACATGATTGTGCCTAGGGCCCGAACAGAGTTAGGGAAGCAAGCATTTAGAGTTTCTGCCCCATCAGCGTGGAACCGGTTACAGAATGGCTTAAAACTTGGTAACTTGGTCTCCTTTGGTCACTTTAAGAGGCTAGTAAAGTATCGGGAAGCAGGCACAATGGCCACCTGTCCCTGCTTCCCAAATTAGGATAAGTCAATTGTATTGTAATTTGTTACATTGTATTTCTAACTGTTGTAAGGCCATTGTACTTTCTTTTTTTTTTTTTTTAAGCGTGGCTGATTCATTGTATTGTTAATGTATTATGTCTTGAATGTTTATGGTTTTTATTATATTTTGTATTTTATGTGGAACTTTTATTGCGGCCTTCTTGGCCAGGGCTCCTTCGTAAAAGAGACTTGTTCTCAAAGGATTTCCCTGGTTAAATAAAATAAATAAAAAATATATACAGTCACACACACATTTTAAAATTTCATATACATCTATAAAATGATCCCAGCAAACAGGGAACGTTCCGTCAAGATTCTCTTTTACAGATTTGAACCAGTAACATTATTAAACAGATAACTGAAGAGATGTTCTATCAATGTTCTCAAGATTTACACAAAAACATTTATACCAACCTTTTTTCCAGAATTTTTTTTTATATTGTTGCTACTGGTTTCAGGATGTTCAAAGAACATTCAAAAGTAGCGTTCCCTTAACGTTCACATAACCAAGAAAACGCATGTTTAAAAATAAGCCGCAAATTTTACATCTTTCTTTCGACCAACGTGATCAGTCTCCCAATGTTTTGAAAAAGAATATTGCAGTTTATTATAAACGATTTATCCATATACATTTTTATTTATTTATTTATTAATTTGCCTTATCTTGAATCAAAAACGTAATCTTATATGAGAACAGCAGACTATCAACATGAGATCCAGATACAGGAGTGTGTGTTCATACACAGAGACGCTGCGTTAGAAGAGTGTGTGTTCATTCACAGAGACGCTGCGTTAGAAGAGTGTGTGTTCATACACAGAGACGCTGCGTTAGAAGAGTGTGTGTTCATACACAGAGATGCTGCGTTAGAAGAGTGTGTGTTCATACACAGAGACGCTGCGTTAGAAGAGTGTGTGTTCATACACAGAGACGCTGCGTTAGAAGAGTGTGTGTTCATACACAGAGATGCTGCGTTAGAAGAGTGTGTGTTCATACACAGAGATGCTGCGTTAGAAGAGTGTGTGTTCATACACAGAGACGCTGCGTTAGAAGAGTGTGTGTTCATACACAGAGACAGAGACGTGCGTTCTCAAAGCATGGCTTTATTGTGTCTGGTATAAAGTCTTCTTGAGAACATCTGCACTCCGACTATTTCGCCGCCGCCGCCGCCTTCCTTGCGATAGTCTTCATCCCCTTCTTGTTGTGTTTCTTGGCAAAGCGCATGTTCCTCAGGAACTTCTGATCCACCTGTGACAGAAAGCCTGCATTAAAGCCCCTGAACACACAGATGAAGCCAGCGCGCGCACTAGCGGACCAGCGTAACACACTCGCACACTACAGCCACGAGTGTTGAACCGACACAAACTCCACATGCTGTAACATCATTCACATTGATGATCATGGTTTGATTCAGTCGTGACTCATAAGCCTAAACTTTGCTTCTAGATTAATATAAATACATGCGTTCATTAGGGGTGTGACGAGACGCTTATCTCACGAGACACGAGATTGGGTTCACGAGAACGAGACGAGATTTTTGCAAAATTTTTCAGAAATCCTCAATGACAAAATACATGACTGGAAAAATAGTATGCAGGTGCACATTCTAAACATTCTGCAATGTTTAACTAATGATCTTATAAAGTAGACCTGAAATGACAGGCATTATGAGTATGAATTATCAAATGCATTAAAAGAAAACAATATACAAGCACTGTAAAAGGCTTTTATTGACTGGCTTTTCTCTGTATGATTTCACATGAGTCTCTTCAGACCTTACTGTACATTTAAGAGCTTTCAGAACTTCTGATTGAGGCTGTGTGTGTGTGACCTCCTAACTGAACTCCTTGAAGTCTTAAGCGCAAACAGTAAGTGCAAGTGCAACCATAATCAAAGTTAGCACACAGACTCTTTATAATTGTTCTCAAATTGCTGTTTTATTTTGCACCGGCGGTTATAGGGTTAATCCGGGTAGAGAGAAACGAGGCTGGTGTGTTTGTCTCTACAGTTGTTCTTGCGTTCCGATTATAAGTTCAGAAACGGAGCCTCCCTTGTCTGATGTCCTTAAGACATTACAGTAACGTTACTCTCTCAATATATTCGAAGTGTAAACTGAGACCATAGCCGCAAATAAACAGTCCAGAGATGGGTATTAGGAGACGGACTATTGTATGTTCGCGGCCTAATTTGTGCGCAATGCACATCAGGGAGCTTGTGTTTTACTTTCACTTTCGTGATCGCGCTTACTCTGTGTATAGCAGAGGTGCTGAGCGCGCATTCTACAATAATACATTTATTAGGGATGTCCCGATCCGATCACGTGGTTTCAGACTCGATCGGAATCGGACGTTACCTCCCGATCAGGACTCGGATATATGTAAATTAGGGGTGTAACGGTACATGTATTCGTAATTATTGAACCGTTTCCGAGGCTTCCGGTTCGGTACGCATACAAACCGAACGATTCCTAGGACCATTTTTCCTGCAGACAAAATCAGCGCTGGCGCGATCACCACAACGCTGCGCAACATCAAATGGCAAACGTAATGAAAGCGGAACGAAACTGCGCTTCTCATTATATTGCGCTTAACAGACCATTATCAGTTCGGACCAGCAACATCTGTGCAGTGCGAGATCAAGCGACACTGTGCTTAGAGATCCAGTGAAGAAAACATTTGAATTCGCCACTGAAGTAATAACATCGCTGCGAGATCTAGAGAAGCATTCACATTTCTCCGTTATTATTAACCGTAGATCTCTATTAGATCAAACAGCGCTGACGTGGGAACCAGGAGAAACATTGTGCCGTGAATGAACATGGATTTAATGTTGCACTTCAAAACTCAAATATTATATAAATATATATTTAAATGTTATTTTTAATGTGATTACCAAAACATTATTTGTTCATCCTTCAAAGATTACCCCCATTTATAAACCTGAAACTTTCAAGATGTAGGAAAACTCAAACTTATTTAAAATCTCTGGCATTTCTTTCTTTTTGCTGTATCGTATCGAACCGCAAATTTTGTGAACTGTTACACCCCTAATGTATATATATTAGGGGTGTCCCCGACTAAGGATTTTCATAGTCGAATCAGATTCGTGAAGTCCTGCCTATAGTCGACTAATAGTCGAATCATGTGTGTGGTGTTGGGGAGGGGGCGGGGCTTTAACATTTTAACGCCGCGATGTACAGAACATCACAAAAAGATATAGAAGAAAATGTATAAAAACATTTTGGATCAATAAAACTAAGAAATAACATAAATAACTGCAGAAAGGCCACACTGCAGATAGGATTTGCATTTCACATGCAAATCAAATTAAATCGGCTGAATTGCCTGTAGGAGCATGCTCTAATAGGCCTACAGCGCAACATCGATGCAGTGAAAAATAATCAACAATTAAGAACACAATATACATTTATAATAAATAAAAATACAAAACGAAATAAGTCAGAATCAAGTCACAAGAAGCAGAACAAATGTGTGCAAAATGCCTAAAGTGCAGGGGAACAATATTCAAAACACAAGTCACAAATAGTTATATTAGATCACCCTGAGTGATCAATTAATAAAATAAAAATAAAGAAATTATTAAAATAACGAAAGTATGGCCAGGATTGTCAACTTTGTCTTTTTAACTGCAGAAACAACAATAAACGCTAAACTGGAGCGGCAGTCTTTTTAGCTAAACGTGTTCACAGTATCCAAAAATCAAATTAGAAGTAGAACCGGCTGAAATGTTTTGAAATCACTTGTACCCATACCTGATCGAGAAAACTAAATCCAGTCTTTCACTCGGCCTGTGTCCGTTTGAGTCTTTTCAAATTGTGTGCGCGGATAAAATAGCCTACATTGTAAACCGCTTAACGTGAAAAACGCTTAACGGCTTTGTCCTAAAACTGTTATATTAAAAGATCAAATTCTGTACACACCTTATTAATAAAGCATACTATATAGCCTACAGAAAAGCAGATGAGCCCAGAATATGAACGCAGCGCGTTTTATTATAGGCTACGTTAAGCATTTTCCTCCCATAGAAAACCGTTAAAGAAAAAGCTTTACGTGACTTTCTATAGGAGAAACGCGTTGCGTTCATATTCTGGGTTCATCTGCTTATCTGCACATGGAATGGTTTCTTAAGGTGTGTAGCCTACTGTGTACATACATTAAGCACGTAAAGTGTCATTTAAGCGTTTTAAAAGCTTTTTTTCACGTTAAGCGTTTTAGATCGTCCCGAGGAAAACCAGCCTGTTAACGTTGGCCGGCAGAAGTGCGATCATGGTTTTCCTGATGCTAAATCCAGCCTTGGAGATTATCCTTTCTGATGGTGTGCATCTTTAGATTTTCTTATCCCAGACATTTTTAAAGATTTAAATCCCTGCCGACAAGACGCTCCTCTGTCGGTCACGGATCGAAAGTGAAACTTAAATCTGTCACGGGGTGTTTGGATTTATTCACGCTGCACGCAGTTAAAAAATATTTATTAAAAGCTTCTTTCTTTGCACATTTTTATTGACAGCATTATCATTATAGGCTGTATATTAACGTATTGACAGAAAACCAGTAGTTCTATGTGAAATCAGACATTGAGCACACTCATATAGCCAAAATGACATAATCCTCATTTAATAACACATCTGCGAAGATTCGACCGTGAGATTGGTAGTCGAATCAGGCTCCTCCTATCGAAGCATCGAATCTTCGACTATTCGGGGTCACCCCTAATATATATATATTCTCATTTTTTTATACACTTTTAAAACATTTTTATTTTTTGTTTACATGCCTGCCGGGTATTTTAAGTTGAGGTGCTATTTGTTTTTATATTAGACTTTTTCTATATTTACTGTTGCACTAAAGTTTAAAAGTGAAGATTTTATGTTATTTATTTCTTGATTGTTCAAGCTACCTCACAGAAGTGCTCTGTTTGTTAACAGAGTTGTTGAATGTTAAAATAAGGTGAATTAAATAAAAAATAAGGAACATCCTGGATCTGTTTTTTCTCTCTTCTTTATTCTTTTTTTATGTATTATATAAGTATCGGATCGGTAGATACTCAAAATCAAATGACTCGGAGGCAAAGAAACCTGATCGGGACATCCCTAACATTTATCAGACTAGTGTTGTCACGATACTAGAATTCTAACTTCGATACGATACCTTGAAAAATATCGATATTCGATGCCATTTTCGATACCACGGAGAAAAAACTGCCACAATATTAAGGGGGTATTTTTTTTTATTTAAAGCTAAATATAACAAGTCTAGAACATGACAATGAGGTATTTTTTACATGAACAAAAATGTCCTGAGTTCTATTTGTTTATATTTTTTAATTGGACCAGAGCTAACATGATGTACTTTTATTACCTACTGTTATTTAAGATTAAAATATACTGTAACAAAAAAGCACTTAACAGTATCAAATTGGAGGATAGAGAGTCAGTAATGTATAATAATAAGATTAAACATTCAATTTTAAGTTAAAGGCATGTCATTATTGAATTCAGAGATGCCATTGTCTAGCTGTTTAGTTTAATTAATATCTGTGTAATCAAATTGATGATAATCGCTAATGAAGGAAAATTGCAGAATTAAATAATAATTTTTGAATAAAGTTAAATAGGCACCAGTTAATTTACATTTGACCACAGTTACAATATTTACTTGTCTAAGATTCCTCAGTCAGATTATGTTAACTTTAAGAATTAAAACGAGACAACACAGACTCTTATCAACAACAATACTAGGCCATCTTGGTTAATGTTTCAGAAAAGTTCAAATGAGAAGAGTTACGGTGTTTCCTTGAGGATTTTTTTTAGCAGTGGGGGCAGATCTGTCCAAACAACACACATCCCTGATGCTGAGCATATGCTGCTAAATAGTAGCCTACCCCTGGAGCCTGTTCCTTAAGTCTGTTTTCACCTATACAATAATTTTTTTTTTAAAATTAGTGATGTGAGGGATTATTGATAGGCTAGCTAGTCAAACAATCTGTTGGCTGCCCGCAGCCCGCTCGCGTGTCCGCGCTATTCTCCGACATGCCCGCTCGCGGAGTGTAGCTCGAGTCGTGTCCGCGCTATTCTCCGACATGCCCGCTCGCGGTGTGTAGCTCGAGTCGTGTCCGCGCTATTCTCCGACATGCCCGCTCGCGGAGTGTAGCTCGAGTCGTGTCCGCGCTATTCTCCGACATGCCCGCTCGCGGTGTGTAGCTCGAGTCGTGTCCGCGCTATTCTCCGACATGCCCGCTCGCGGAGTGTAGCTCGAGTCGTGTCCGCGCTATTCTCCGACATGCCCGCTCGCGGAGTGTAGCTCGTGTCCGCGCTATTCTCCGACATGCCCGCTCGCGGAGTGTAGCTCGTGTCCGCGCTATTCTCCGACATGCCCGCTCGCGGTGTGTAGCTCGTGTCCGCGCTATTCTCCGACATGCCCGCTCGCGGAGTGTAGCTCGAGTCGTGTCCGCGCTATTCTCCGACATGCCCGCTCGCGGTGTGTAGCTCGTGTCCGCGCTATTCTCCGACATGCCCGCTCGCGGTGTGTAGCTCGTGTCCGCGCTATTCTCCGACATGCCCGCTCGCGGTGTGTAGCGCGTGTACACGCTATTCTCCGACATGCCCGCTCGCGGTGTGTAGCGCGTGTACACGCTATTCTCCGACTCCGACATGCCCGCTCGCGGTGTGTTTTTTACGCGTGTCCGCGCTATTCTCCGACATGCCCGCTCTTTATCAATCAACCAAAGCCGGTCGCGGGGGCACCGCCCTCGCCATCTTTCCATTCACTTCACTTTTGAAGTGAATTTAACCAGAGCGAATGAGACGAGTGCGTCACGTGTGGTGTTTGTCAACGCGCCTCTGGAGAGAAGTGAAAGTGACCGCTCGGCTAGTATCGATACTTCGGGAAATTAGTATTGGTACCGTTCAGATATTTCAGTATCGATATTTATCGAAATATCGATATTTTTGACAACACTATATCAGACGTTAGTCTATGTTGCGCAACGAATCCTCCGCCATCCTCACGCGATCAGTGAACTGGGATTCGTGCGGCACTGATTGCAACGGCAACTCGTGCTGGATGAGCAGAGCAGACTTTCACATTATTTTATAATGGTTTTTATTTTTTTATAAAAACAGCAAAACGATAGTTTAGGCGAATGTGAGTGTAGCGGTGGAATGGTAATCTCACGCTCACGCTCAGTCATGGCGATATCACGAGACAGCTTTTCACTCGATGAGAAATCTCGTCATCTTTTAGTCTCGCGAGATCTCGTCACACCCCTAGCGTTCATTTATAATGCTTTTAAACAAGGTGTATTCATCATTTGAGCTCTTTGTGAACATAAGGCATATTTCTTTGATTCACTAGCATTGATATCGTAAGATATTTAGTTTCAGCTGCTTCTCAAACTGTGTTTACTCCTGCCTTGTAAACGCTTTTAATATCACAAGTCAAACTGATCTGAAGCTGCAGAAGAGAAGCGCGGCTCTGAGGAGTAGATGTGCTGACCCGACACTGGCCGGACCGAGTTCAGTCAGACGAGGCCGACACAAACCCCATATTGTGTGTGTACTATTCTCTGTTATTAAGCCTCACAAAACCAGTATAAAGAACCATCAACTTTTCATATTATAAGTGTTCTAAAGCCATTCCATAGTTTAATGTAACTTTTAGAGATGAATATTGAAGTCGTTAAATTCACGTGAACGCTGCCCAGTCGTTCTCAGTTCAGCACACACACACACACACACACACACACACACACACACGACAGTCAACACGATCAAACTCTCTCCAAGGCGATTCAATATTACTATTATTATACTTGATCTGTGGATAAAGGTCTATGGTTTCGCATACAGGGTTTCTGCAGGTAATCTTCTTATTAAATGTAATGCTTTATAAGGCCCCGCAGAAACCCTGGCATAAAATGACTTTATCTTTCTGGGGTTTATGGTTCATGTAACGTGTTAGATCACACTGGAGTGATGTACTCGTTCTTAACAGTAACAAACTTACAACTGTAAAAAAGAAAAGGCTCAATAAACCGATGTTGTGCCGTGTGACCTGCGATCAGTGCCGCCTCTGAGCTGACCTGCGATCAGTGCCGCCTCTGAGCTGACCTGCGATCACAGCTGTGACTTTCATAGTAGAATACTTTGGGCAATGAAAGATTATTAGCCTTGCTCTGTTCGACCTGTATTATTGCTGCCTCATTAAACATCTGCGCTCCACATTTAAAAGAAATGTCTTTTATTTTGATAGTATATATTATAAATAATATATTTACTTGTTTTTCATGAATGTATTTTATTTCACACCATGTAAGCAGGGTTAGTGCAGCGCTTCCTCACGGCCACCAGCTCTCCAGACTCGCGCTGGTGTTCAGCTGTTGCACATCTGCGCTCTCGGGAGTTTCCTACACTAACGTTTGCTGCTGAATATCAACTAATCTAGTTTATAATAGTATTTTGACAGATTATGATCATATTCCATTTGTTGATTGTCTTAATAATGAAGTTTAACACACAGTAATTATCAGTTCAACACACAGGTGTAGAAACTCTACATTGAGGAACAGGAATCTGTGCTGATATCTGATTGGCCGATACGGACGGGTGACTCCACACGGACCGCAGATCTGACGGACTCACTCGGGATTCTGCAGAACACAGTGGGCGGAGTCTAGTGACACGCAGTCGTCTCCCATTGGCTCGCGATGATGACGGACATGTGCTCTCTCTACCACGCGTTTCAAACATTTATATTGTTTTTTCTAATTAGAAAGCAAGCGCACGTCTATTCTATTACGTTTACTGTAGCGTAACTGATGCGAGTGTGTGCCGGCCGGATGAAGCCACGCTGAGCATTCACACACTCGCCTGGACTCGAACCCCTGACCGCAGTGTTGCAGGCCTTGAGCTACAGGAACACCACATCTCAAACTGACATATGCAACTAATATTATGAATATAAAGTGTAGCCCGTTAAACATCAGGATCTGCAGCACTGAAGGCCAGATGTGCAGAGAACAGCTGGATCATCTTACCCCTTTCAGAGACTCGTAGCGCTGAGAGCGAGGCTTCTTGATGCCGTTCCTGTGCCACTTACGAGCTGCACACACACACACACACACACAGAGAGGGTCATTAAAACATCCATAGCATCTCACACACTCAAACATCAACAGCATCTCTCAATCACACACACACACACACACACACACACACAGAGAGGGTCATTAAAACATCCATAGCATCACTCACACACACACACAAACAAACATCAAGAACAGCATCACTCACTCACACACACACACAGTCATTAAAACATCCATAGCATCACTCACACACACACACAAACAAACATCAAGAACAGCATCACTCACACACTCAAACATCCACAGCATCTCTCTCTCACACACACACACTCAAACATCAAGAACCGCATCACTCAAACATCCACAACACACGCACACACACACACTCAAACATCCACATCACACACACACAAACATCAAGAACAGCATCACTCACACACTCAAACATCCACAGCATCTCTCTCTCTCTCTCACACACACACACACACACCGGGCGAACACTTACACTGGTTGTGTGTGGTGTGATTCTTCGACTTGGCCATTTCTGATCAGTGTCTGCTAACAGAGAGACAGCAGTTAGAGAACAGAGTAACACAGACCAGCAGGACATCACAGTGAGCAACACTAGCTAACCTCCTCACTCGAGCTAACATGCTAACTAACTACAAACTCCACAATCCCGGCCCGCTCGCGCTCAATACTGCACTAGAGCTGCTTAATCAGTGTCACTGAACACGATACTGGACTGATGTTCCAATGGGAGTTTGCATTTCTGAGGATTCATTTAGATTTCATTTTGATACGGAGACAAACTCATTACCTGCTACACGAAGCGCACGACAACCGGAAGAGAGAGAGACAGCAAGGCATTGTGGGAGATAAGAGTCCCCGTCACCGGATGTGAAGTTCCGAAAACACATGTAAACAAACACAAGTTTAGTATCACCAGAGAATGTCGTTTAATTCAGAAAACTATGGAATCCCATTTCCAACACATAAGAAAACAATCATGCTTTGGTAAATGATAAGTATGACACAGAACAGAAGTCGAAAATATTACTTAAAATGTTTTTTAAAAAATCGAAATTATGACATAAAAGTCATAATGCACTTATAATTTCGACTTTTTTATGTCATAATTATTATTTACTAAAAATCTTTTTTTTTTTTATGTGCCGACAATGTGAATATAGCTTTTAAAAAAGTCCTAAATGAAACATAATGCTACCATACTAGTGTACTAAGTTATTGAAACTAACTTGACCCACAATTATCCAATATTAATAATAACTATTATTATTATTATTATTATTATAAAACTGACACACCCACATAAAATGAAGATATAACAATAGTAAGTGTGTTATTTTGAAACTATGATTACCATGGTAAATTGTATGTAATTGAACATATACGTAATGTAATAGAGCGAAGTGTCCGGTAGATGTCAGTGTAAACACACGTCATATCCGCTAATGGAACAGAGATCACGTGAGGTGAGAGAAGCAGATCCATTCAGTAAATGCTTCATATTTATAATGTGTCACATGAAGAGAAGTAGACTTTCTATGTGATGTAAAGAAGAAGGCCACTGCCAACAAATGTACATATTTACATCTATATGCATGTTTTGTATCTATATTTCCCAAAGTAGCCTGTAATAACACACAGTGTGCAGTGATCTGGGATAGACTGAGAGATTATTGCAGGTGTTTATGGAGCTCTTATGGAGATATGGCTGTGTTTCTCCTCTCAAACCTCAGGCATTCTCCAGTGAAGCCCGAACAATCAGACGGGCTGCTAATAATAGGCCTGCCTTGCTGTCTGCTGATAGCAGGACTCATGGGCTGAATATAGACACGAACAGCCTCTTAACTCTGAGGTTTATTACAGGAACGAGTTGATCAAAGCGCTTCATGTCATTCCCGTGGGCCTGAGAGGACTGAAGACGAACCCGTCATGATGCCAGATGAAGAATATCCTCATAATGTTGGATCAGAATCAGTTCCTCTTGCAGCATCTCTTCTCTTCTCTGATGACGGGGGCGGGGCTATAACCTGTCACTCACCCAGCTCACCCAGATCAGCCAATAGCAAGCCACAACCATCCAATCAACTCCCCACAGACACAATCAAGCCCCGCCCACATGTGTTCTGGTTCCTGAAGCGTTTCGGAACAAATAAATCCATAAACAGTGATAATTTCATAATAACCACGGAAACAACACATGATGTGAATGATCATCATTTTATCCTGATATGTTCATGTGTTTATTCAAGTCGAGTCCTCTTCATTTATACAGCGCTTTTAACAATATAGACTGTTTCAGAGCAGCTTTACAGTGATAACAGGAGATTACAGTAACAGATTGTTTGGCTTTACAGCAGCTCTAGAATAAAGTTATTGTCCAGATAAAGTTAGTTTTGATTGATTTGATGTATTCAGCTTCAGGGGTCGATAGGCAGATCTTTTCTGCTGTGAGACACACATGAGTGTAACTGTGGATGTGGGGGGCGGGGCTTGGCTCTGTGCATCAGTTGTTATGATTGGATGTTGAGATGTGGGCGTGGCTCTCATGCAGATGAGCTGCAGGGGCGGAGTTTAAAGTGCCTCTATTATTTCATGCAGTGTGTAATAAAGCTGTTTGTGAATGGAAACGTTCTGCTCAGTTGTAAAGTCGAAAGTCCAGGATAAATAAATGTATTGTCTCCCAAAAGAAAGAATCGCCTCTGAACCGCCTTTACGAGTCGTTTGTGTTTCGACTCTGCATGACAGTTCTACGTCACTAGAAAAGATATTTGCATAATGCCCGCCTACGTTGTGCGGTGTCCGCCCACAAACAATCTGACCCGCCCCCAATCAGAACTCAGTTTATTTGGACCAACTTGCTCAGTCTCACAACCTGTAGGTATGGATGACTATATATTTTCTACCTGGTGTTCAAAATACGTCGTTTTGTGTTTTATATTGTTAAAATAAAACTGTGTCTATTAATGCAGATTGTCTGTCGCTCTTACTAAGTAGAGATAAAGGATGGAGAGAGATTTGTTTTGCAAACTTTAATGTTACATCAGTCATTCCCTGTAGAGTTGCATGTTCACCACAATAAAGTAGAGATACAGAGCAGAGTTAGACAGATTGATTCATCCAATGAGTCATCTCAGAAGCATTGAAAACTGTGTATATTATGAGAAAATGAAAGTGTTTTTGACCTTGATGCAAACCTGTTGTAGAGACTCCAAAACAAAACCAGGAGCCAACAGCATAACACTGCACTTTAATATCACTGACACTTCACTGGGAGAACCAGCGATCACAGTCTGACTGAGCAAGGTCATACTTTTTAAAAATATCAAACATGAATGGATTAATAGTTCACAATAAGATCTATAACATGCATTTTCAAAATAGAACGGGTGA